TTCCATTTACATAACCCTCATTATTGGCATTATTATTATTATTATCCATGATATAATTGTTGTGTTGTCTACCAGTCTGTAATGTAGCAGTAATTGTCCATCCATGTTAACTGACAATTAGCTTATTAACTTAGTAATAGTCTGTAATAGTAGCTCTTGATGGGGAAAATGCCTTCAACCCCATCTTCATTTGAATTTATGCAAAATAGCATAAGTCCATTTTGCATATCTCAGTACACCTGGAAATGAAGAGGTTTTATGCTTTTCATTGATCTTTGACTAACTGTGGTAGATCTCTCTCTCTCTCTCTCTCTCTCGATGTGTACGAGGTTCTTTTTATTGGGGATCTAGTTCTGAACTCATATTCATTCTGCTCTTTTGACTCCATGTTGGATTCGTGCATACTATTCTCCATAGTTTTTTTTCCTATTGTGTTAGCTTTCATCATAAGAAGCACTCCTCCTTTCCTCCCTCTCAAGTTCCTCCTCATTTTTTACTTCTTCCATCTCAATTTCTTCGTTGTCAATGCTAAGTTTTATCTGAGCCAGTAAATTTTATCCATTTGTTGCTATTACAGTTGTATAATGACCCTTTTATACAATGAAGTTTGCTTTATTGGGACTTGTACATCTTTTTGTTTGTCGAATAAGATATTGTTATAGTAGATCTAATTTGTCTTCCTATCAATGCAGAGGTACTTTACACTCTACTAGCATGTGAAATGGTTCTATAACTTAGTAATAGTCTGAGTAGGTAGCTCTGCATGGGGAAAATGCCTTCAACCCCATTTTCTCCATCTGCACCATTCTCTCTGCAATTCCATTTGATTGTGGTTGGTATAGTGGGAAGCATCCAATTTATGTTAACCACAAACACTGATTCATCAGAATTTGGCAAAATATCAGAGACTAACATTTTTGACACCCTATTTCTGGAAAATATTACTTGTAATTTAGGTTTAGGGGTAATACATCACTTTCAATCCAGTGCAATAATTTATTGTCTGAATTGTCTGACCTTTCTAATCATTCATGAGCTTTATGGCCCATCTTAAAATTCTAGATATGACCTTAGATAACTTTTTTCTGGGGTTAAAAATAAATTCTAAAAGTTTATAGTCAGATTTCAACAGAAACTTCCTACCTAGTAAAAATTGGCAAGCTCTGTCTGAGCTCCATGCGATTAGCTAACATTTCTTTTTCAATGTTTGAATAATTAGCTTTGGCTAATGTTAATCTTCCAGAAAGGTACATTATAGGGTTACATTCTTTAGATAAAATCACTGACATGGCACGTTTGCATCTGTAGTTAAAATTGCTTCCTTTTTGGAGTCAATAATTTTTACATGTTTTTTTTTTATAAGTTCTTATTTAAATTCACTATTTTTTTATGTAATTCTGCAAAGTTTTCTATTAATTCACTATATATTTGGCAAATATCTACTATAAAAATGGGCTAATCCTGAAAAAGATTTCAATTCTTTTTTATTTGTAAATGTAGATACCTCTGATATTTTCTTTTATCAAATTTATGTCTGGTGAAATTCCCTCTTTAGAAATCTGGTGTTGCAGATATCTTAATCTGTCACAGTTTAACACACATTTATCTGTGTTTATGATCATCCCAGCAGTATAATCATATTTTTAACATCACCAGTTAGTACATTTTCAATTGCTCTTTCAAAAATAGCACTTACTGTTTTTACACCATAAGGCATATGATACCATCTGAGTAAACCTATCAGAGAGTTAATCGTAGTAAATTCTTAAATGTTTTTATCAATTTGTAACTGGTTATAAATTGATTTGAGGTTAATTTTGGCACAGTATTTCATTCTCAACAATTTGTGAATAGCAGTTTCAGTGTTAGGAATACATAATGAATAAGGAGCAGATTTTGTGGTTTATACTTATTTTGTAATCCCCACATATCCTTAAAACTCCATCCAGTTCACCTAAAACGACAATGGGTGAGACCCAATTACTACCACCAGGGCAAACATACTCTAAAATTCTTTGCTCCACCATTATTTTTAGTTTAGCAACTACTAAATGTAGAATGTCAATAGGTAGTCTATGAGGTTCAAAGTGGGGTAACTATTTTCCTTTAATTGAATGTTCACTTTGTACCCTTTTAACAGTTCTTTCCGACTTCACACTGTTAAGTAATTTTGCTTTGTTAACTTTTAAAACATCTATTCCCACAAGTCCATGACTTTTTTCACATTTGATTACCATAATGGAAGTAATTTTAAAGTGGTTGTTGGTTTGAAAATGTTAAATAATAGTCTAGCAGACTATTATTTTTTTAAAGAATTGGATTTTCTTCTGACTTTCTCATTTTGACCTTTGTGGTCAGATACAGGAAAACAAAGGAAGTTGTTTTTGATTGTTTGAAACCAGCGTGGGAATGTTAAAGAGATAGAAAGTGATTCTGAGGAGTTTTACATGTCGAAGAATATAGACATATTATTTTGTGTCAGTGAACTTGCTCCCCAGTGGGGGTGATAGTAACCCTCTGGTTAGTTAAAAATGTACACATTGATGTGTTTATTAAAATAGGTAAGTTTTCAAATTCCCTTTGTTGATGTCTCTTTCATCTCCCGAACCATTTCGACACCCGGCTGAGAGAGAAGAAACAGAGGAAGGCAACATTATTATGATCACCTCAAGACTTGTCAACCAAGAGACCCCCTGAATGAGAGGCCTTTACAATATGTCTATTTGGTGCCATGACCAGGATCTCCTCAGAAGAGAGGGGGATATGCAACAAAAAGTTCCCTTAAAACAACTTAACTTTTTGATGAAAGTGCCATTGAACTGTATTAATTTTAGATAACTTTTCTTTAATTTTGGTTTGCCTATTTGTTTCCGGAAATTTATTGGAATTAGGGTGACATCACTCCTAACATCTACTTAAATAGGAAAAGTTATACCATTTAATTTAATATTTTCTCTGTAGGTTTTTTTTATTGCACATACAACTGTATTTTCCTGAGTGTGTGTGTGTGGGGGAGGGGTAAATTTTCCACCCTTTCTATTTTATTTTTATATTTGCAGACAGACTGAAAATCATCTTTCTTCTCACCAATCTAGCATATTTGTCCTAAAGTTGGACATTTTTCTTGTTTCGTTCATGCTCTTTATTGCAGTACTTGCATCATAAAAGGTAGTTTGATACACTGTATGCTTCAAAATGCTCTTAGATGTGTTGAATTTATCAATTCTAATTGCTGCAGAAACTCTACACATGCATCTAAGAACATTTTACACAGTTGTAATTGTTCTAAAATTTTGTGTTTATACGAAATATCAAACATACCCTCTATTAATATCAACTGTATCAACTTGTCTATGGTCATTTCTCCCATACCAAGTTTTTCCAACTCACAGAATCTGGAGTCCTCTTGTAACTTGTGTATATACTTTACCATTTCATTTGGCTCTTCTTTGCTCGCAAGAAACTCTGTCCTTTTCATGATAACCAGCATTTTTTTTTTTTTTTACAGCCTGTAACATTTTTTTCTATTAACTTCTTGGTCCTTGCACTGCAAAACAATGAATCCATGTTTCTACAAAATCTGATTTGTCCAATGGCATTGGAGATCCTATCACCAACCTCATTTTGTTGTGTTGTCTACCAGTCTGTAATATAGTAATAATTGTCCACTTGTGTTGACTGATGACTGACTTATTTGACTTTATGCAAAATAGGGTAAGCCTATTTTGCATATCTCATTACAATAATAACATCTTATTTCAGAGATGGAAAGAAAAGGAATGACAAAAAGGTTTTTCTTGGAGAGAGTTTATGCCACTAAATCATACAGAAAATTATATATACATATTTTCATGTGTCCCACTCAGAAAAACTATAACACATAATTGTAACAAAAAGTAGTGTGAAAAGTGGATGAAAAGTGAATCTGACTTCCCAACACGAATTGGAGCTGCCAGAAATTTTTTATATTTCTGCAGAAGCCATATTTAGGATTCCAGATTTGAGCAGATGGGAAATGGTAAGTCATGGGTTTTTCCCACCATGAGGACTGTGAGCTGGAGAGAATTTTGAAATCTTGTGAAAATATATTCCCAAAGGGAAATGGCACCATGGACTTATAAACTGGCTTGGGGAGGCAGCTTTTACCTCAAACAGGGCCAAAACGAGCAACTGCTAATTTTGAGTCCCGGAAGCTAACTGATGGACTAGCTACTTTCATCACTCTATGAAGTGATGTCACTAAGCGCCTGTCATGCGACTCACATGACTTCATCTTGACCAAAGGGAGATAATAGATTTTTATATCCCTACACCATATTAAAAATGTAAAATAATAATTTATTCAGGTATATTGTATTAAACAAATGTTTCGAAGGTATATCTTTTGAGTTTATAAATTAAAGATTTTTGTATTTGTTTGTACTGGGTGTACCAGTAAGACATTAGTGGCAATGATGTCTTCATTAAGCTAATGTCTTACCATTATGTGGAAAGTATTTCTGCTGTACCCAGTATAATAAAAACTGACATTCCAAAAACAACTTATTAATATATTCTTAAATAATAGTTGCAACTGATATGTTGTTCATATTAATATGTATTGTGAAAATTTTACCAACATTAGTTGACTAATATAAATTTTATTGTGAAAACATACATTAATGTCATTTATTATGCATTATGTCTGTGAATTATCAATGTTAAATATATAAATTAAATATGAAAGTTTAATATAACAGCTATTATGTATATGTATATATAGTCATCCACATACAAGTCTGTTTCACTGTATCACAGCTCATGAGTGTGATATACATTTTAAATTTTTTTAAAAATTTTAATTGGAGATTTTATCTTAAAATCAAAATATAATTCAACATTGGTCATTTTGTAAAAATAGAAAAGTAAAATATTTTAACTTCATTATTGTCTATATTTAATTTTGTTTCTTTTTTTGGTTTATTTATTCTAAAAAAAATTTTTTTTTTTCTTGCTTTCAGTGTTTCCTCAAATGGATGATACTCATCTTTCTACTGAAGATGCTCCTGCACCACCTGTCTCTTGTAATAATGAGAGATCATCTGATATTTCCAAGAGAGCTTCAATTCTTCAAGAAGCCCAACAGCTTATTGATGAAATAAATGACAAACGAAAACATGAGGAGCTTATTTGTCAGTACAGAAAAGACTTAGAAAAACATGTAATTCTTATTTAGTAATGTTTACGTATACTCAAGTTATTTTACCTTTATTATAAAAATGTTTATTAATCTAAATTTACTATTTCAGAATGTGCACCATCTGAACTACCTAGACTGATTCAAGCCATTTAAGTATAATCTATGCGTAACTGTACATTCCTACTTTGAGGAGAGAAATAGTAATAATAGCAACTTTTTCAAATTAACAAATGAAAAACAAGTTATAATAAATTTAAGGTAGATTCAAAGATTCTTTGGCAAAAAAGGATTTGAACAACTGATATGCAGCCTAATAGATGCTTTTAAAAGACATTTTTGTTGAATCTTCTTTTTACTTTGATCTTAATGGTTTTTAAGTTATTCTTGTTATAATTTACAAGCTATATCTCTATAATAAGTCTTCTATATAGTACAGTTTTTATTACAGTATTTGATCAAATTTTAAATAGGAACAAATTGTTATTGTAATTCTCTTGAACATAATATCCACTTGTTGGCTTAGCATCACACCATGTGCAGCCTTATGCCTGGGTGTGGAAAGTATATTGAAGCTTCAAAATTCCTGCAGCCCTCTGCCAATTGTGCTGTTTTTGTCTTATATCCAAAACTTAGACAGAGGTAATCTATCACTGTCTCTATCACTCACACAAGGTATTCTGACCAATTGCTGACTATCCTCTGCATTTTGTAACAAATGCATGTATTTAGAGTTCAGGTTAATTGTTTCTGTTTGCATTCATGTAATGGTTACTTAGAAGAATTTCATGTTTACTTAAAATTCTTGTATGTTAAAGGTTATGAAAGCAAAAATTAAATGAAAAAAAAAAATTATATAGTCTAGTTTCCATTTTATTTTTTAGACCTGTTACACATGTTTATGGGAATTATTAGCTAAATCTTAAATCCGTACTTTGAATTTCCAAATAAAGTAGAATTGTTGGCCTTTGTTGGTCAACATAAAAGGTTTGATCGATGAATGAAGTCTTACTGTTTGGTATGGCAGATAGTGAAAATAGAAACATTTTGAACATATATTTGGTAGTATATAAATATAATTAGTGTCACTTTGATGTGTGATAGCATTGTGTAATAGTGTTTTTTAGTTATTAGTACTATATTTGAGTATCATAACAGGACATTCACAAGAAATTTTTGTCATATATCCTGGGGGGGGGGCCTCACCCAGTCTTTCACCATGAGGACAAATCACTTCATGTTGTCTTGATTCCCATTTATGTTGGTATGCACCAAAATTGGGAAAGATCCTGTTTACATTCACAAGCAAAATGAAAAGTGAAATAATGCCATGACAAGAAATGAAAAACATGAATCCTGTTTCACATATATTTGGTTGGTTACTCAGGGTTTCACTCTGGATGTAGGCACACAAGTCAAATTGGAAGGTGGTTATTACAAAGTTAAATAGTGTGTCTTTCAGTAACTTTTTGAATTTTTCAATATCTACTACAATTCAAATGTTTATATTTTGTAAGCACACAACTTCAGTTGACTTGTCAGTTTGCAAGTGTCCCATGCTTGAAATATATAACAAAAGAAACATATTAAGCCTCAGGTTTACTCAATATTATCTTTTATTGATTATTTGTAAGTTATTTCATTAAAAACAGCTCAAAAGAAGGCCAGAAGATGTTTTTGAGAATTTAGATCTGAATATTATAAAAATTCAAGATAAATTTGTGTCAATTTTGACTCTTAAAATGATAAAAAACATGTTAATAACAAGAAATGGCAGAGTACAATCATATTAAGCCAACACATTTTTGAAAAAGTGTCTTATTTTCATTCTAGCAGGTTTCACACTACTCAACACAGCATGTCATAAGGTCCCAGAAAATTATCTATTATGTGTACCCACCCACATCTCTTTCTTTCTGCAGTTATGATGCTAAATATGAATTTTCCACAGAAGAAATTTCCTAAAGATAAAAATACAGGGCTTAAAAATCTTTTTAAAGGTCACAATTCTTTTAATAAGTGTAATTTTAGTTTGCATATAATTTTTAAAATATCATCCTAAGACCCTGAGGACCAGACTAATAAACATGGTTATACCACTGGGTGTTATGCAGCAGTAAAAGGTGCTAAAGTATTATACTCTTTTCTCTTCAGTAGTTATTTGACTTATTGAAAATTGTCTGTCCAGCCAGATCTCTGTACTTTTGTACGGCTATGTTTGGGCTGATTTCTCTAACAGGCCAGACTGCCCTAATTCATAAAGATTAATTTGGAAATATCAGATTGAAAAAATTGGATTTATACATTTTAACAAAAGTTCTCATAGTTGCTTTGGCATTTTGATTTTAAGGTAAATAGTGCAAAATTGGAGATTTTAGACTATATTCCAAAAAGACTACATCCTTTCAGATACCCCCACAACACAAAAATCTGTAATATTTTAAATTTCAAGTCTTAGTTCTTTGATTGCTACTTGTCATCTAACAAAACCTCAATTACTATATCTGTGAAATTTTAGAATTATACTTAAGTCTGCTAAATGACCTGTGGAAGGTAGGTGGCACATCAGCTCTTCCTTTTAGGCAGTAAGAACTCTGAGATTTTATCCTAATGCCCATCTTTACATCATGATGTATGGCCTCATAACTACATTAATGGAAGCTCCAAAACTCTCTTTGTCCATTTTAACTGTGACTGCAAATATAAACCTAGCCAAATAGCACACTTGTTCCCCAAAATTTTTTATTTATTTCTTCTATTTTCTTTCAGTCAGCAGGAGACCACTTTGAAGATAGCCATAAAAACTGCAAGCTTCAGTCCAGATAAAATATTTTACAGTCCTCTTTACTTCATGGGTGTTCCAAATTAATGGTCTTTAAACATGTCATTTCAGATTTTATAAAATTTTTGTTACTTGTACTTAGAATATTTTTTTTCATTTACTATTTTATTAAATTTTAGTAAAAATGTGAAACTGCAAAAGTTAAATTCTGAAATGAATTGTATAGATCTTAAGTTACTTTATATTATGTACCTCCACAGAAACATCATACATTTAAAATTAAAAAAAAAAAAAAGTCTTCCTTGAAGCTTTTATTTTAGTTTTAATTTCAAGCTAATAGTATTTCCAATAAACAAAATACTTGATGTATTTCAAAACTAATTCAAATTGACTGGAAAGAGTTTTCGTTTTGAAATTGCCAATTTTTAACCATCTGTCATCATCTCTTCATTAAAAAATCTTTCAAAAATAAAATATACTTTTCTGAAAATTTATTTGAGGAATATTAGTGGATTTAAACTAATTAACCTGATTTGAAATAGATATTACTATTTACTAGTTTAAAATATCACAGAAGAGCATTTTTTAACACAGCAGTAGATAAGATGTTGACAGCTTGACTAATTGACTCATCTAATTTTCTTCAACAGTGGCTATATATTTAAAAATTGCTTAAGGAATATAACATGAGCACCTTGTTTTATATAAATTTTATTTATCCAGCAATATTAAAAATTTAGGAAAATATTCTCAGTAATCTAATGTTTTATTGAATTTTAGGTACTTTGGCTTTAAATTTATTATAGTTATCACACTTATTTTCTGATAATATCGTGTATAATACAAAAATTATTTTTAAAATATTGGGGACCACTAAAATGTAATGAACTTTTTTGTTTATGATTAGTAAATGTATTTTTTACTTAATAACTGGGTCAAATTAAGATAAAATTTTAAGAGATTTAAAAATTTATAAATTATTATAATTAATTTAAAAAAAAAAATGAAAACAATTCTTGTAAAAATTCATTTTTCATTGAAATTTTTTTTTTCTTAAGACAATAGTGTCCATAATGTATGTTATTCATAAAAGGTAATTAAAAGTTTTTCTAATGTCTTTATTTTATTTTATTGCATTTTTTTATTTTATGATTCAGATATTTTCAGTAACTGGGGGTTCTGTTTTACAAAAAGAAAATGATGATTTAAATTCTACAAGGAGTTGTGCTTTTAACATGAACTGGGTCAAAATTTAATTTCTCGAAATTTCATAAAATTAAATAAGTGAAGGGTAACAGATGTGTAAAAGAAAAAAAAAATTAAAATTGATTTAATTTATTTGTGAATAAGTCCTGAAAATTTCATTAAAATCTGACAAATATTTGATTTCTGCAAAAATTTTCAAATCAGTGTTTTTCACTACAAAAAAGACACTAAAATTTGCTATACTAATTTATGGTCTCCAAAAAAAGATGCAAAAATCTCCTATATTAGTTTTGCCCCTACCTCAAAATTTGAACATTTTAAAAAGGATAAAAAATATAATTTAATAATCAAAAAAATCTTTTGGTCTTTCCTCTTAATAATAAAGATTTTGATGATGGAATTTTGTTTTTATTAAAATTTGGTCATTTTTTCATCATGGTATGGTAATTTTTAGCATATCAGTGGAGGTACCTACTTCATGTTATAAGTTGTGACAAATTTATGCATGCTATATGAAAATTTATCCACATATTTTTCAAGTTTTGTAATTATGAAAAAAAAAAGAAAAAAGAAAAAAAAGTCAGTTTACTGTGAAGGAAGAATTATAAAACTATTTTTTTTTATTTCATTCTTTCACATCTCTTCCTTGATTGTTTGCAGTTAGATATTTGGTTGATATCTTCTTTTGATGCCTAATATTTAATTATAAATTTTTAGTAAACCAACATTTTTTTTTTTTTTGAGAATCGTTGTACATGTGTATTACGATATTAGATGAAGTCTAGAATAATCCATTTTCAATGTTTTCAGGTGGAAAAAAGATGCAGTTTAACTCAACAACAGATGTTAGCTATGTTTGAAGAGCACAGTAAATTGATGGAAGAGAAGCTGAATAAACTTGCCTATTGTCTTGAACGTGCAGCAAAAGCTGAATCAGAGCTACTGGAATTAAAGCGATCTTTAGCAATGTTATATCAAGATATGCAACAAGATCTGCAAGAAATTGCTAGATATTAATTCCCAGCCATTTTGAATATTATTTTACTCTTTATTTTCAAACTTATTTGTTGGATTTGAAAAACATTTTGTTTCTATGTGAAACAGCTTCCTACAATGTCCATTGTAATTTTTCCCTATCACAATGAATGTTGAAAAATGTTTTAAATAAATATTTGAATTTAGAAATTTATTGATCAAACATTTTGTTATTTATATGATGTTTTATGCATGTACTTGACCATTAATGTTTTAAATTGAATTATTCAAATACGTATTACACCATTTTAGGTTATTTGGATTTTATGACATACTAACAGAAATACCAAGTCTTCTCATGTTTCTTTGATATTTAAAATTAATACAATCACATAAATTCACTACACTTTGTATCAACTAATTTAAAAGATGCTGACAATGTTCAGTTGGTCCAAAAATGTTGAGTTTATCAGAATTTGTTGTTTCCAAGCAATTAAAGAAAAAAAAATCAAAGAAACATGAATAGGATGTAAAATTAATTCTTTTATGCATTTTTTGTTTTAGTGGAAGGGAATCCTTTCTTAAGCTGAAGAATCTAATGAATAACTTTTCGTAGCATTTAGCCCATCTGATATAGATTATAGGACTTTATCAAATGTTCACATACAATGTACAGTTGTTATATACAGAGGAAATGTAGAAAAAACTGGAAGCTCCTATGTCAAAGTCAGGTATATACAATTCATTGAGGCAAGATCAGAGCATCCATTAAACACACAGTATGTGGCAGTAAATCCTTATGACTTAATTTCAGCACAAGACCACAGCATGCAAATGAACATCACTCAACAATATCTGTACAATATAATTTCTCCCAGGAAACATTTTCAAGGTAATTAAACTTGTTACTCTAGACATCAGGCTAGTTTCCAAAGTTAGGTGTTTGGGATTGGAAATTTCAGGTGTGAGAAATAGAGAAAATGTAATTAAATTTAGATATCTTATGCAATATTTTCTTATATCATCATTGCTTCTCACAAATTCTGTGAGGTTTGTAAATGAAATTCATTGGTACAGGAGATTTGTTCTAGTTGAAAATATCTTGTTTTGTATTAAGTCTAATTACAGATTAGGTTGGCTTGCTCTTTCATTTCTAGTTAATTTTTCCTTTCATGCTTTTTGATTGTGGAGCATATATTGTGATAATATTCATTTGTATTGAGCAAACTGACCTTCCCTGAAATGTAAAGCCATTATTTTCTTGTAATTTTTCTTCACTAATATCCTGATAATACAGTTTTGTTTATTATATCAGAATGAAATCTCCAGAATTTCAGTTATCTATTCTGAGGGAATATTGGCATCAGGTTAACTTAGGATATTGCACATTTACAGCAAACTGAAATGCTTACCACCTATCAGAGAAAAAGAGAGGGGAAACTGTTCTACTCTTGTAACAGTTATTTAAATAAAAATAAGTAAAAACAAATAAAAAATAATTTAATGGATCTGCATGCTGAAGAGAGAAAATAAAACCAAAGTTTTTCAATTTGATTTGACTCAAAGAAAATTTTCTGCAAATTTATCAGAAAAATAATGTAAGGAAACAAATTTGAACAATTCCCCTACTGTGGCCAACATGTATCAGTACTGATGAAAATGGAGTCCTTATCAAGATCCAGGTCTTTGTTAACAGTTTTACATCAATAAAAGTGATAAAAATACCAGCAGTCTGCTTTTGGCAAAACTTGCTTTGCTATTGTTGGAGATTCAGAGAGGGAAAAAAAAAAGGACAGGAAATATGGCAATTTGAAATCCTTTTCATTAATTGCTGCCTTTAGTTGGTCTAATTGAGGATAGGACTTTTACTTATTTTAATCCATTTTTTGGTACCCTCAAAGGACTGTTTCAAATTCCATGATATACACAGCATCACTTAGATGAATTCCAACCTTTGCTATGGCATAATTTGTCTAAATCTCTTTCATTCAATAGTTGTGTTATTCTATCTCAAAAATCAATCAACAGCCAAAGCAGGTGACCCTCTCAGAAAAATTTGCAGGTGTTCCTTGATTAAAATTATTAATCACTCCCAAACATTAGATCTGTATCTTTAAAAATTTAAAATCAGAGCCTCTTGACATTTCACTTCATTTTTTGTGTTTTGCTAAATAAGGCTTTCAATGAAGTTCTGGCATTCATAGGATATAGCATGTGCAGATTTGAAACTTGGTGTCACTAGTTAATACTGTAGATTACAAAAATATAAACAGTTTAGATGTGTCTTTATGTACATTTATTTTTCTTAAATAACCTAAATGTAAAAAGACGTCCAATTTGGAAGCATCAAGATTAGTTTACCTATAATTTATGATCCAATAGATTATTTCTTTGCAGTATCCATATTCATTGCTGTTATAAGAATATCAGTTTGAAAATTGATCAATTTTTTAACATCCTTAAAATTGCCATCTATTTTCATGATAATTCATAGAGTTTAAAAAAATTATGTTTTTATCACACATTCTTACATGCCTGAAGACCAAGTGAAAAAAATTTTCTTTTGTAGACAAACTTCCGTTTAGGGTTAAAACATTTTTCTAGAATTTGTCATGCTAAAAATCAGTTTTGTTGACTCTGCAAGTTTCAAATTTATAAAATGCCAATGTGAAGATGAAATTTGGAACCCCTATAATTTTCTGTTCAAATAAACTATTTTTGGATTCATTTTAACTTTGTTCCAAATAGTTTAGATGATATGGGCCCTTAAAAATGGGTTTTGGGGTGGTCTCCAAAGTTTTTAATTGTAATGTGAAAAATAGCAAAAATAGAAAAAGATACAATACCAAAACTTGTAGCATTGATTTGCATAGCTAATGATTTCAAGGTTGCTCAGATCATTTTATGAAAGGAAAATATTTTCATTTTTGTCATTTTAAAAGGCTTCATTATGATTACTTTCTGTGCATTTTCTAGGTCTTATTAATCTTTAACCATAATCTGTTATATATTTCCCAGAATTAATTATAAGACAATTTAATAAGGCAAATTTAATTAAAATTATTTTCAGATTGTCTTATCTATTTTCCATTCTGTTAGATTTCATCTAATTTTGCTTTTAATTCTGCAAGTAATTTTTACAATTACATCAGATGCCTTTAAATTTACAATAACTCTTGTCTCCCCATGAAATAATAGTGAAGATAAAGAGGAAGGGAGAAGTGGTTAAACAAAGATAAGTAAAGAAAATTTAATTATATAAGATCTAACTGTCCTAATATCAATCATGAGTAAAAAATAAAATTCTGAAATAATTACAGCTGAAAAATACTAAGTGTAAAAGTACTAAGTTTCTAATCTATGAGCAGGTAAGAAGTCAGGTTAATAAGCACAAGACCATGTGAACATTTTCCTTTCTTTTGACTCTATCTGAAAAACACCTTGACTAATACATTTGAAATTGTACATTATTGTTTATAACTGAAAAGTATAAAAAGCAATGTAGAACATAATCAAGTCTAAATAAAATCAAACATCAAGAGAAGATACTAAATACTGAAAGAGTGAAAATAGAAAATTTACATTAAAACACATCAACACACAAGTATTTTATTATTTATTTTTATGGAATTCTTGTTTGATTAATAAGAATGATTATCAGTATTACCCTGATTTACAAAAACAAGCACCAGAAGATTTGGACATTTTTTTTAAAGATGTTTGAACAATCAGAAAATTGCCATTCATTGCTCATCTTGCATTTCTTTACAAAATTTAAGCTAAACATTGAGAAAAAAAAACAAACAAAAAAACTTAATTACACAAATAAAATAGGAAATAAATTGAGATTTTTTGATGCTGATAATATTCATGGATTTCTTTTAGACCACTATTACATTTGTAGGTGTTCATCAAAACTTTGTGGATTGGTTCATTCTGCAGTTTAAAGTGAAACATTATCTTGCAGAGTTTGTTGCATGTCCAATGGCTGAAGTGCAATGAGGATTGTCACAAATAAATTGGATATGTTTTAGATGTTGCTTATTTTTGTGGTTGATTTTTGAATATTTTTATGATGCAAACGAAAATGGATTAGTTTATATAGCAATTTTAAAACTTTACATCAATAGATTAGATGTAGAAATTAATACTGTACCAGCAATCAGAACTTTTGCAAAGTTTAAAAATTGGCTTTCTGCAATCTTATAATGCAGCTAATGCACCAACAAAAGATTTCACCAGAAGGTAGGAGAATGAAGTAGCAGACATGAAAAAAAGAAAACCTTGAATATTGTAAAAATTCCTTACTGATTTGTTTTGGTTTGTAATATCTGAAATTTGAATAAAGAGAAAGTTGTAGGAATTAAGTTTTAGATACTTGCTTTTAAGACTGAAGGGAAGAAAATAAAATAGTAAAGTCAGTTTTGCTTTTTCTTTGTAATTTCTGCACTTTTCTTTGCCATGAGCCTGAGTGCTTTCTCTCTGTGTGTCAACATATGAGAGAATAGTTGAGGAAAGACTGAAAGAGAAAAGAAAATTGTTGGATTTTACTTATAGAAGGTTAACTTTTTTCTTAAGAGTAACAAATCAAAACATGCTATTTAAACAAACATCAAAGGAATAACTAATATAAATGTAGCAGTCATAAAAAATTGACTGAGAAATATGTTTAGTCTCATGAATTAAGATCTTCAATGAAGCAGGTGTTACACTAAGTAAAAATTGTTTAAAAGTCACTAAAAATTTAGACAGATAATTTTAAGTAACATTTCTTTTTACAAAAAATTTTATATTGCATTCTAATTGGTAAATTATTAGTATTATTTTTAACAACAAAAGAAAAATCCAAAAACATATTCTAATAGATCAAAGAATAGAGAGAGAAAAGGAAGTCAAGTTATTTAAGGGGGTTTAAATTTTATCTTTGAATCTGCTAGTCAATATCTAAAATAAAATTATGGAATCCAGCAAAATTAAGTAATTTATCAAATACAATATCACACACACACACACACACGTCTGCATCCTCATCCATTAAAATATGATTATGAAAATTTTGTAGGAATTTCTTAATTAAACTGAAGGTCCTGTGTCTCATTTATTAAAGTTGGATACAAAATCAGATATTACCAATATGCAACAGGATTTTTTTTCTTGTTTCACAAAAATCATAAAAATATTCAAGTACTGACATAGCTAAAAACAAAAGAAACTTACTAGGAATGTAACTGAGCATCACGGCAATGAGGAAATAGTAAAAATTGAAGGATGCATTCAAGCGATTTGGTAAAGTTAAATTTAAGATTCCTCTTTCTTCAACATAATGAAGACTTTTATACATACAAAGCAATTCACCCTGAAAAAGAAAAACGAATTATTTAAGCACAAAAGAATTTTTTAAATATTTTGCATATTGGTAGCAAATCTAAATTTATCTTAACATTTGGTATTTCTAGAATACTTAAAATATTTTCTCTTCCAATTCTTCAGAATTGAAAGTGAGAAAAAGAAGTTAAAATTAAATATAAATTAATCTTTAAATGTAAATTTCATAATTTCTTGTACAATTAATTCCTCAGTTTTCTTTATGGAGCAAATATTCCCCACCCCCGGGTACATTCTTTATCACAATAAGAAAATTAACCAATGGAGTAAGAAGTGGATAGGGAGAGGTATGATTTTGAAATCACATGAAAATGTCAAAATGATGTGTTAAGAGAAAATAAAGAAATTATTCATTTATTTTTTGGTGTGTGTGTGTGTGGGGGGTGAGATTAGTATTATCATCAAGGCTGTAAAGTTAGTATAATCTACTGCTTAGTAATTTTAGGCTTCATTTTGCAATTAAATGCTATGCAATATCCCTTTTGTAAGACAGTTAAAGAAATCATTAACCAAACTTATTTTCTTTTTTTAAATTTTATCAGTTTATGCCAGGCATTTTCTTATATAAAGAAAATATTTTAAACCATTCCTTGCCATTTTCACCAAAAGGTAGTACTGAACAAATTGTTTTTTTTAACATTTGGTATTCTAGTCACTGAAATTTAGCAATTTATTCCATATTTACGTAAATATTTTTATTCTCTCACTGAATCACAAACCTAAATAAAGTTTTTAATTTTTCAGGAAACTGTGCACAATAAATAAAATAAAAGGAAGTAGACATAAAAGCAAAAATGAAGAAAAGCTTAAAAAAGAGAGAGATAAAGAAAAAAAAAGGCCTCAATATGTTGAAATAAGAAAGCATATACCAAAAAGAGAGAATTAAATATTTTGTAACAGGACAATTTAAAGGTTTATATATAATAGATACAAGGTACTTACAACAACTCCAAGAGGATAAAGACCAATAAACAAGGAATACCTGGAAATAGAAAGCAAAACTTAGTAAAGAATAGGATGTGTTACATATTTCTAAATATAATCAAACTGGATTATGTGACAATGATATAAATATTTACACCAAGGATGATGTGCTGAAATTTTTTTTATAACTTATTCCATTATCTTTTTGGATCATCAAACTATTAGAATAATTTTCATTGTTTTTAACAATAAAGCAATTTTTAGTGAGCCTTTGTAAGGACAATATGATATGATTTTCTTAATTTATTTCTTCCAAAATTCAGCCTATGAGAATATTAGATTCAGTATAGCCAATGTCATACAGAGCTTTCCGATTAACTTACTTTAGTTTCCTTCTCTCTCTATTATATATATATATATATATATATATATATATATATAGACGTGTGTTTGGTTTGTGTGAGTGAGAGAGACTTTACAATGTAGTTCTTTATTCTTGGAAGAGTCACAAAAAAATTTTTTTCTCCTCCATATGTGATCTAACATACACAATTTGATAATCTCAAATAATAGAAACAAAGATCACATATGAATGCTAAATTTACTAAAAACTAAAATTCTTATATTATAACCTATCTCTTCCTGGCATCAGTTTAAACTGAAACCTGTTTCTATATATTGTAACCATTTTGATTTAAGAAAGCATCCATTTAAACTGATACCAAGATAGGAGTTAAAGATTCATAAAGTATTCCTATTCTTTTTTATTCAGTGAACCTTTAAAAAGTTGAATTTAAATTATACAGGGTGAGATGGGTAAATTGTCGCCATTTTATATTTTTAATTTTGTACATGCACATTGTTTGTTTTTGATTTTGCCAACTGCTCAGTATAGAAGGGTCAGTAGTACACTGTCTGTGAGAAAAAGAGCACCATGAGACAATTCATTCCTCCAGAAATTTGGAAATGGCATGCTGTACTGTGCTTGGCATTTTCACCGGAAGCAACAATACAAACATTTCAGAGTGTTTGGGTGTCAATATAGTGCAGAATATTCAAAAAGAGTCGGATGAGTTTAATGGTGATTATGAAGGTGTTTGGAGTGATCACCGGTGATGGCGACATTATGCCTCCATTCATCTTACCACAGGGCCTCAGACTCAACACAGAGGCATACATCGTGCCTTGAGGCAGTAGTGCTACCTGGGGTCAAGAGTGTAGCTGCTGGAAGACCCCCTATCTGACAACAGGACTCTGCATTATGCTACGCAAGCAGGAGAACCCAGTTATTGCTGTCAGACAATTTCTACGACCACATCACCCCTTACATCTGGCCACCTAACTCCCCAGACTGCAACCCCCTTGATTATTATGTATGGGGCACAGTTGAGAAAGAGATCAACAAAATTCCTTGTAACACCAAAGATGGACTGATGGTAAGGATCATGGCAGCATTCACCAACTTAAACAAGGAGACTGTCCAGAAGTGTTGCAGGAAATTCTGAAGTTGTCTGGAGGCTGTAGTTGAAACCAATGGTGATTTTATTGAATAAGTTTACTTACTCTTTAGTATTTCAAGATATGTTTATGTAATTTTGGTAAATATATCTATTAAAATGAGATGTTACTGTTATTCTTATTTCTGTGTAGTTTAGGCGACAATTTATCCATTGCACCCTGTACAAAACAGAAAGTATTGTTCTAAGATGTGACACTATTTAGCTATGGTAATTGGCTAACTAATTAAAAACAGGAAAGACTTAAGGCGAGAAAGAGCTATATTGAAAGATAGACTGAGCAATGTTAAAAAGAGGATTTTATTTTATTTACGAAAAAAGATACTTTTCGCACAAGACAGAAAATCTGTAAGAAAAAGCTGAGCTATGAGATTCTGTCAAATTTGATTAATACCATGGTGAGGGAATGTCTTGCCAAGGGAAACAGAATTCAGAAAGAAAAACAAAGCCAGCCGACACATGGCAGTCATAAAAAAATTTCGGCTTGAGACGACTGTGATAGAGAATCAATATTAGTTATCTTTCAGAGATATCATTTAATTTTGTTCCCTGGGTCCAGCAAAGGGAAACCATCTGGTATGTGTAAGAATTTTGGCATGAGGAAGAAAATTGTGGAAAAAGGTATTATTATTATTTTTTGAAACTGTTGTTGTCGAAAATGGGCATCTGGTGATAAGAGGATTTTAAGGCATGAGAAAAATAAAAAATTTGATTCTCAGGTAAACACGGACCCCCAGTTAAAAGTTGACTTAGTGGAGAAGCCAGATGTCGGGTTTTGACAGTGATTGATGAGTCAGTAGAGAGTCCTGGCTAAGTGAATTTTGGGTGTCCCCAAAAGTAAGATGTGATAAGAATTATTTGGCAATCTGGGGTTTGTGAAAAAATGTTTTGGCCAATGGGGAAAAGAAAAAAAGGATTTTGTAAACAAAATTCTGGATAATAATTTTAAGAGGGCTAGTCTAGCCACACCCACACCGCTGAGAGATCATTGGTCAAGTGGTAGCATGGGTGATAGGCGGAGGTGAATGTATGAGAAAGGCGGAGAAGTTGTTAACACTCACTGAAGGGATTGGCATGAGATACCAATGTGAGAGAGGAAGAGTCTAGGAGGATAACTTTCCTCCGACCTCCCCTCATGGACGAGGGAGGACCCCCCCCAAAAATGGAAAGTGATCAATCTTCCAAAAATGGGAAGTAATTAATTTTCCTGGCCTATGAACAAAGAGAATTCTTGTTGGGAATCGAGAATTATCGAGGAACCCAGGCAACGTCAGCCCCATCCTAGGTTTTGGTTGGTACCCATATAAACGAACATCCCCAGGCATTCACAGTTGAGTTGCAGTACAGTTCCGAACAGAGTCAGAAGCTGTTCGAGTAGCGGGAACCAGAGTGTTGCCTCGCAGAAGCTGACCAAGAGATTCCATGTCCTTTCGACTTCACCTTCCTACCAAAAACAAGTTATATTGACAAACGACTTAAGATACCAAAACTCGCTTAAGAAATGCAAAAGTGTCACGAATCCATAGAAAATGGGCTGGGAGAGAAACACACTCCTGTATATAACAGACGGATAAAGATAATTTGTTATTTCTCAACATACTTGAACCTCTTGAGTTTTGGTTTATTATTTTTCTTTTACTTACACTTGTGCGATATCACCTTCACCCCGGATTCAGCTTGCACTATGGCCCGACGCCTGATTGATTTCGTCTACCTAAGATCAAAGTCACAATGTGGGTAGGTTAGACTTGAGATCAAGGTAGTTACTTCAGTAACCAGACGTTGAAAGTGAGCTGGGAACGATGAAGCCAGTATTGAACTGGGAACAACCAGATCGACTGGGACAGAGGCTGGTGGCAGTGACAAGGAGTCAATCCCAAAATGCTGGTGGAAGAAACCTTACAGCTTCGCACCGCAACTGGGAGTTGACCACGGGCCGACAGTGCAGTGTCACATATTGGTGTCGTGACCAGAGGACGTCACATATTGTCGCTGCGACCACCAGAGGGTGTCACAAAGATAAAATTGTACATATATAAAACAAGATTTGTTCTATAATGTGTAGATCGTAGCATTCACCAGTGACCTGTAAATAAAATGTTTCCAGACAACATGATGCAAACAACTTTACAGATAAAAATGAGTGTACTTACCGAGCCCATATTAAATAGTAAGGTATAAATCCAATGAGCATGAAGAAGTAATATGTGTACCGAATAGATTCAGTGACAAACCAAGCAAAAAGAAACATCATAACGGAAACGTGGTTGTGTATCTGAAACAAACAAATATATATTAGAAACTACATAATGAGAAGCCATTTTGAAATACAGTTTATCAGCATTTAATAAATTACATTGACAATATTGTGAGGTTCCATTTCCCATAACCAGAAACTGATTATTAACAATTTTTTGTGATGAAAAATTAATTATATGTTTAAAAAACAAAAAGAAGTTACTTAAAAGAAAGTTTTTAGGCTTGTGACACTTTCACTGTTTGCTTGTCTCAGAACCAGATGCAATAATTTCAATCAGTGTCACTATAGTTTTGTTTATCCTAATGTTCATCCATTATAAGGCTCAAGAACCACTCAAGAGCTAAAGTGTAGTGTTGTATGAGTGTAAGAAAAGGCAAGAAGTGCATAGGTCTATGCTGGAAATGGTTAACCCTAGACTTGAAGAGGTCAAGAATGTAGTGACTGGGAAAACATCCTGGCGGGAGTCTGTTCAATAAAGCAGTAGTTTGTGGGAAGAAGCTGTCTGAGAGGAACTTACTCTATGCTAATGAGATATGAAGGGGATGAGGATGATTCATACTTGTATATATAGCATGGCAGGTCCCAGTTGTAAAGCTCAGGACTGGTGGGACTAAGGAATGTAGTGATAGAGCAGCAAGATGTTTGTGACGTTTCGTGTATTGGAGAGGAGTTGTAGTACAGTATAGAAGTATTGATCTTTGCTTTTCAATTTTTTTTTTCTTGGTTGAAGATGGAATTTGGCATACTATCATCAAAGATCATTCCAAGAGAATACTCAACCCATTACTTTCAACCATCAACAAGTAAGAAATTTAGAGTAAAAGAAAATGACCGAGAAAAAAAAAATGTAATATTTACCAATGTTAGTTATCTATATTTACTCACAAAAGGTTTTTCCTTGAAGTAAACATACTCACTTCTGGTATATTATGCATAATGCCCCACACAACAAATATCCGAGAAAAAACCTGGAAAGTTGTCATAGTTAAATTTGATTTAACCAATCCCAGTGCCACATGTAATATCTAAAATAAAAAATAAAATAAAATTAATTATGAGACATTTTTAATAACTTTCAGAATAATTTTATTCATAGTACTTGTATCAGGTAGCCAAAAAGGTCATTTTGTTTTAATAAGTAAGATTAAAGGTAATTTTTTAGTACCTGCCAAATTTATTCTCAGAAGTTTTATTTTTCTGATTGTAGAACAGTTTTAGCTATCTTTTGTAGTCTTTCAGAAAATTGTATTTTTTGCCGCCTAAGAAAAAAGGTGTGACATGTGGCAAATACATTGTCCCCCCTGCCAACCTGTAATTTCAGCCTAGTTACCAAAAGAAAAATGCATTCTTGTATTACCCTGATGGGATATTATGCAGCTTCTCTTAACTAATACTAGACAGATACTTTCTATCAGCTGCTGCTTTAAATTGGGAGCAGTAGTATCTTTCAATTCTACCATATACACACTGCATCATCATCTATAGATGAAAACTGGCTTTTGGCAAGATTAGAAGTGTTTCATTCCACCTGCTCTATAATAATTTTGTGCATTCTACATTCAAGCAAAGTATTTAATTTTCACCAACTGTCACAATTCCTTTAAAAAAAAAAAAAAAAAAAAAAGCAATGATTACATATGGTCCAGTAGCTTTTCGCTGCTTATCTAGTATGGAAGTCACACATCAAAGTGGCTAACATAAACTGGTGCAAATGATTTACAACACTTGATTAGGATATTGTCAGTATGTTGCTTTCTTTCATGTTGCATATATGGATTTTCTCAAATAACATGTCTTGGTTAGATTGTTATCAACCTACTTTGGTCTATCCAACCATAGCACATTATTCATTGAGAAGTTCTCCTGCATAAAACTTAAACCACTTTGATATGTTCAATTGTTCAGAGTATCTATTTCTCAAACTGGAAAAATCCTTGTTTTACATTTCTTAATACAAAAAATAGAGTTTTACTTGTTGATTCTAATGTTCCCAATTTTAGATAATTAAAAAACAATGCCAATTTTGGATAATTAAAAAACAAAAATCTTTTTAAATGAAGATCATTGAAAGTAAACACTCCTAATTCTATGTAATAACAAAAGTTTAAGAAATTTTTATATAAAACATAATTTTTCATTTGTTTTATAAAATGTTATTTGATCCCCTATGGATAATTAGAGATATGAAAAGAAAGCTTTATACCTAAACACATTAAAGGGATAAGTTATTTTTTATTCATGTTGAAAGTATATATACTAAATACTTAAAGATTTATTAGTAACACATTTCATTTTAATTGTAAAAAATTGTCACATTTGATCTACATGAAATAGAAATATTTTAATCTATAAAGATTATCCACTATTGCCAAATAATAAAAGAGGATTAAGTATTTTTTATATTGAAAATTAAGCAGATTTTAGTTTATAAGGAATTTCCAAACTACTAGAGAATGCAATAAAATTACTGTCCAATGATATAAAGTCTAAATTTAGGAAATAATACTACTTTTCAGATTGAAATAGAGTAGTGCTTCCCAAACTTTTTTCTCTGGGTCACATATTCAGGATGAAAATTTGCTTATGCCTCACCAAATTTTATATAATAAAAAGTACATTTAAAAATAAAAAAAACAGAGAGAGAGTTAAAGTTAAACTGCAGATTCAAAGTCAGAACTTTATCATTGATAACTCACCTCCAATTTGCAGACCCTAGTCACTATAAATAGAGTATACTATGACTGTATACATTATGCAGTGTTTTTAAAAAATTTTTATGACAAAATATTACAAATATTGAAATTTGTTTAAGTGCAATATTATGTTGAATAAATAAACAACTTTTAACAGCTTAAATAATGCTCATATTCTAAAATAACTTCTCAAAATGCTAAAAGCTGAAAACTGTTAAGTCATCAAAATGAAAAACAATCTGATTAAAATAAATCTAATTAACAATATTCAGATTTTAAAATGGCTATGGTTAAGATTAAATAAGTTTGTCTTTACATTATGATTTCAATCAGAACATTGATAACTTTTAGTGAGCTTCTTAAATTTCAAGTTTGATACTTCTTAATACAATTTGAAAAGAGGCAGAAATAAATTTTTGTTTCAAAACTTATGACGGAGTAAGAATTAATATTTTTGCTTAACATGCATTGAAATATCCTAATTTTATAGACCATATTTATGATGTAATTATTAAAACATTTTTATAAAAATACCAAATATATCACTTAATGTTTTGACATGAAAAAAAAATCCAGTTTTTTTTTATACACACACTAATTCTAGCAATATTATGAGGAATGCTTAGATATATAAATAAAACAAGGTATTTAAAACATTTAAATTATTGACCATGTGTTCAGTAGGGGAGTGGCCTAGAATTCAATTTAGAGCAAGGCCTGTATTTTTAAAGGCAAGAATTAAGGGATTTGTTCAGTTATAAAAGTAAAATTTTAGATTTAAATCATCTCTAGTGTTCTTCAGTTTATTCATACCAAAATAATATTTTCAATATGGTTAAGATAAAAAGGCGTTTGCAAATATAATGGATGGATATCCACTAGGAGAAAACATGAAAATGAGTTAAAAGGAATATAAAGGAGATTTGATTATCATTAAGAGAAAAATGGAAAAAAAAAAAAAAAAAAAAAGAAGAAATGTGGAAATCTTTTATGACAATTGGGAAATCTAAAGACAAACAATCTCTTGTTATTTTACATCATTTACATTCAGACTAATATCCTCATTGTTGTTTTTATTATCACATTTCAACTGTTGTACATACTGGCCTTCTTTCAGTGTCTGCCAATGTAAAAGCACAATTACTATGTCACTTTAATCCACTAGGATATTGACCTGTGAGACAATTCTGAACTTAGGAAGTCCATGTCAATAGCAATGTTAAGATTTTTCTGGAGTAATTATATAAATAATGATCAAGCAGTATCAATCATTAATGTTTTTTAAAATAAGCTAAATAAAATTATATTGCAGGGAATAAAAAATAATCTTTATTACAATGCAATTTCATTTTAAATAGGAAAATTACAGGTTATTTTTTTTTATACCTCAAGTAAAGCTGCTGTTTGGAATATCTTCAGTATTGGTTCTATTCCTTCATATAAATTAAATTTCTTTAAACCAGTCACTGAAGAAAGAAGCACAAAAAGCATGGATACCCATCTGAAAATAACAAAAACAATTATGCATTTTATTAAAAAAAATATAAATCATGTATATGTAATAAGTTCTTAGCTTAGTAGTTGAATATATATTAAATACTAGACGACCCATAAACCTAATGGGTTCCTTTTAAAAGCACTTAATAATACAAAATGATAAGGTAACAATATTATTAATTACACATATTTTAATTTGTACTTGCAATACAAGTTATTGTAATACTTATCATTATTCACATTACTTAGATCAAATGAAATTGCAAACTGATATCATACTAAAGGTCTTTCCATTCAAGTAATGGGTTGACTATTTAAACGAATTTTAGTATTTATATTATAATTTTCAAAGGTGAAGGTCATTAAAGACCCCCCCCCGCCCTGTAATTGTGTGCTTAAGGAGAAATGGTGGCAAACCAGCATGCATGTATTTATTTACCATCAAGTCAAGTGACACAATCTTCCAGCCATACAGATTGTGTTTTACAATGACACATCCATATAACCACTTCATCTATTGAGTAGTCATCAAAAATATATTTGTTTATAAAGAAGTTCTAATGTAGTGTAGTGAATTGTTGGGAAATCAATATTTATGTATTCCTTCACCCAATTTAAATTTTTCTCTTTGTAATATTTTCTTAAAAAGTCGTAGTTTGGTTGCTTTCATATCTTTAACCAATGTTCTTAATCTTCTGCATCTTTTCTGTGTTTACATTTGTTACATCAGATTGTTCAAATATTTTCCTTATAACAGTTCAGTGAGGACAAGCTTAAAAAAATTAGGATTTATTTCAAAGATATAATTCTTTACAAATCTATTTCACAATTTTTTCTGGTAAACAAATTCTAATTTTGCAAATAAAGTTGAAAGTTTGCCAAAAAAAGCAATTTTGACATTTTTAATATTCTAAATGCAAAGAATTTATTTATTCTATATTTTAAATATTTACAAATTACATAAGTGATGGAAAGAGTGAGATATTGTATTAACATCTATTTACAGGAATTAATTCTTAACATTTAATTGTTGATGAAATGAATAGAGAAAGTGTTATTGAAATAAAAAAAAATAAATAAATGGAATTTCCATATATTTCTTTTTTTTAAAAAAAAAATTTGGGGAATGATGAGCAATACAATTCCTTTGATTTTTAAAACTGATAAAAATGAAGTTTTTTTAAATTGTCATCCTTGCATTTCTATAATTTGTATACAAGTGATTTTTGTTTAATTACTATTTTTATTAATTATTTTATTTTTATTATTATTTATTAACTGATATTCAATTAAAAAAATTTCATGATCAGCAGATGAGTAAACAGGTGATTGGAATTGGTCTAAATATAAGCATGAAAATAAATTTTTGTTGTAGCATCTAACTTCTGACTGATAAATGGTAGGTGCGTGAATTTGTATTTATAGATGACCAACAAACCTGGTTTCTTAATTCAATCATCTGATGATCACTTCTTATCATTAATCTTGTGGGTTATCTCACTTGACTTTCCAAGAAAAAAAAAAAAAAAAGACAACAACATTGCTAGGAGACACTCCTTAAGCCTATAAGAAATGATATCCTCACTCATTCTCTTCCCTCTTTTACAACTCTGGTTATAAGATGTAATCACATGTGGAAAAAAAGTGTCCCCCAATGTTCATATTCAATGTCTAACTTTTTTCTTGTGACTTTGCACTCTTTCACACACATCCTATTATGAAGGCCTACATAAATTTCACACACATTCTCTAATACTAACTTTATAAAAGTAGTCTTTAAATGTATAACTTGTTTATTGTTATTGTAATACTTTTGTTACTACATAATACATTGTTGTTTGTTTTATATATTGTTTTGTGTTACTCATTTATTACTCAGACTCACATTTGAGTCTATAATAATTGTTACAGGAAAAATATAGCAAGAGATACGTGTTTTCTACCTAAACACAACTAGCATTCTCAAAACAATCCTTTACTTTCAAAGTGAAATTATTTGTGGCTTTTATCTGGCTTTAGAAATTGAAAATGATTACATTGATTATTTTAAATATTTATCAGGAATTAAAGCTACATTTAAACCATAAATATAGGAGGAATATAATTACCTTAAATTATATTTCTCAAATTTAATACTTTTAACGGTATATCTGTTCAGTATGTAGACAATCATCATTCTTCACTAGCAGTTCTTTTTCTTTGTGAATTGCCATTATGGTTTTCCCATCATCTTTTCTACAGTTTGGAATTCAGAGTTTTCCTTCTCTGAGACTAGTTGCCATCCAAGGTAAGAGAGTACAGTTGACTCAGATTAATGCTATTCCAAATGGCATTTGGGCAAATTAACTCTGCATGTTGATTCAACTATCTGTGCTAATATCCATTACATTACCTGCACATCAAAACATTTCTCCAAAATACATGCAAAATTTAACTACATTACTTGCAAAAGAATATATTGCAAATAAAAATGAATGTAAGAGAAAGGAATAAAAAATAATTGAACATTAATATTTAAAATATAAATTATTTATAATTTATAAAGATTTTTTTATTTAAAAACTGGCTTCCTGATTAATATGTAATTATCATAAATCATTAATTATGAATCTCAACAAGTTGTAAACTTTATTTTAATAAGTGTTATGATTATTAAAGTACATGCACACTTTATAATTGCTAAGTAAAAGCTGAAGTGTCTGTATATTTAGTTTTAATCTATGCATCAACTTGATAAGGTAATATCTATAAAAGATTATGCCCTATTTCATGATGTACAATAATTTTGACAATTTTAAAAATTCAAATATCTTCAGGATTAATATTTTACCATGTTTTTAATGTTCACATAGTATTTGAACCAAGTATTCAATACGAAAATTATAAGCTGATAAAGGAAAAAAATGATAGAACAGCAGTAAATCTGTTTTTTTTTTTACTGGCATTTATCTGATTTTATATTCAAATTTTAAAGTAACATTAAATCAACAATATTTCCAATGTTGTTAGAACTTCTAAATGGATGAGGCAAGCAATGTTAGAACATAGTAATTAAAATATGAAAAATAAAATTAACTGTTTCCATGAACTCCAGAAGTGTATACCATCAAATAACAAATAAAAATATTATTACACCAGAGAGTAGTTGATGGTAGAACATTTTTAACTAACATTGATAATAGACTGGAATTAATGATTAAATGAATTTTATAATGAGTTATGCGAGACTAATAACATTTGATCTTGCAGAAAATACTCAGAAATCTTCATGTACGACTCAATAATATTTTCCATTAATATCACTACACATCCGAAATCTATTAATACAGACTAATAAAAAATATATGGTCTGTCTGAAAAGTAACAGGACTGATGTCACAAACAATTTATTTCAATTCTAAACAACTACATGGTTTCCCCTTCAAAGTAATCCTCCCTCAAGTCTAATTCAATTTTCCATTCTTCTCTGCCATGCATCTATGCATGGCTGGAAGGATTCTTCTTGGAAGCCTCACAGCTCCATCATTACAGCATTCTTGATGGTCTCCACACCTTCAAAATGGATCCTCTTGATGATCCACTTGAGCTTGGTGAAAAGAAAAATGTCACATGGAGCAATATCAGGTGAATAGGGAGGTTGTTCCAATATGGCAAAGTTTTTCTGGATCGGGAATTGCTGGATGCTCAGGGAATTGTGAGCAAGTGCATTGTCATAGTGAAGCAGCCACGATTAGTCCTGCCACAAAAGCATGTGAAAAAAATGCAATGGTTGCAGAAAGCTAAAATTACACTTATATATTCACAAGATATGTTAGATGAGAACACAATTTGCTTATACCTCTTTCACCAATAGCTCACACAAGTCCTGTTATTTTTCAGACAGACCTAATTTTTACATATTGAGTAAAATTTATTCATTTATTATAAAATCTACTGTAAATGAAATCTTAAAATTAGCACAGAACTACTTTGTGCATACATATATATAAATAAAATTTACCACAACTAATCCTTCTAGTAATTGTCTACCAAATCTGAAAAGAGCAAACAGATGATAAATATGATTCTCTTGCTACACAGTATTACACTGGAGGAAATTAAATTGTTTAAAGATAAAAGACCATTGTCCAGATTTTAGATATTTCACATTTGTAAAATAAAATCTATGTCATCTATGTTAAATGTTCTTTGTATCACTCACTCCAAAAGTCATAAAATTAAAACATGTAAGATTTTCTTTTGGTTACATTTGAATGAATACATTTTTTTTCTTTTTAGTATTTAGCAGTCCAATCTTTGAAAATTAAGCTTCTAAATTTTTAATATTTTTTTTTGTTAGTCACAGAAACCAGACTTCATTAATAGTTAGTACCCTAACATGACCTTGGAATTTAATAAGATTAAAACTCCACCCAAAAAGTTAATGTCTCACAATACTGAATTAGACTTAATCTTTGTTATAAGTGGTTTATCAGATTTAAATACAAACCTGATATAGGATTTAGGTCACTATTAAAACTTGTGGATGGATTGATATCCAATTAATGCTGAAGTAAGATTTTAATTCACAGACATGTTTATAAAATGTATTACAAATGAAATTTTAAAGTAGAAAAATTCTCACAAATATCAAGAGACCATTTACCTTTAATGAGGAGACATTTAACAAGCAATTTAAACTACTTTTTTTTTAATACTTTAATTAACCATTTTACAGCAATAAATTTAATTTCAAACATTTTCAAGTCTGAGAAGGGAGATAAGTAGCTTCTAGTTTACTATTCCATGTTGTTCATTTTTTTTCACAAATTACACTGTACTTTGATTAACCTTGATTACTTCACTACTTATTTAAATGTAAAAAATAGTCTTAGTTGGCAATAATATAAGAGACTGATGGTTATAAAAAAGGTTAATTGGTTTAAATAATGCACAGACCATTGTTTGTGTCATGTGGCAATAATTGTAAGTAAAATGATGTACTAAAATATGTAACTAAGTAAGAGTACAATGTTTAAGAACTATTGTTTTTGCCATCATAACAATTACTTTTTAGTCAAGGATTATGAAATCTATGAACAAGAATTGATCAAACTATCCAAAAGTTTATTAAGTTGTATGAAAGATGGAATTGTTTTTACATTTAACAAAACATCCATATTATAGATACATATTTTCTGTATTTATTTCTCTGACTTCATTTATCATGGTGCATGTAACATGAAAACTGGGATATTAAAAATAATCATTGATGAGTTTTGCATTGTTCAATCAAATCTTAAGATTTTTTGGTATGGCAGTGAAAATATAATCAAGAATTGAAACAATTTCATGGAGTATAAATCTCAAATAATTATTAGTGTGTGTGTGTGTGTGTGTGTGTGTGTACTATGCAAGAAAATGCAAATAATTGAATAATTGCATAAATATAGGACCAACAAAATGTCAGAAACAAATGCAAACTCAAACCAAATCTCACAGCTAAAAAGAAATACCGGTAAAAATGCCAGCTGCAATAATTAATGAATCCTGAATATTAATTAAATGAAATTAATTATGATTTTTGGTAGATTATAGGGTGCATGTCTCCTTTGTAAATAAATACCTTTAGGAACATAATTTTAAAAGCTTTTTAACATGTTTAAAAAAGTGGAACATGACATTTTAAAATAAATATTAAGAAATGTTTTTTGTACAAGACAGTGTAATTGCTGTTGATATTTTTACATCTTTGGAAGTCAGGAAATTTAGAATGCAGACAATTATTTGTATTTGATTTAAACCATAAATCAGGCACTCCATTTTGATATGAAATTTAAATTAAAAAATAAATATTGAATAATGGAAACAAAAATTTTCTCTTTGATTGTAAGATATCCTAATAAAGCTTCCAAAGAAAAAAATGTTAAGAGTAACAATCAGGCATTTTGTTATAAGCTAAGAGTAATTAAGTTAATGGCAGTATTTTTTCTGTTTTACAGTTGAGTCAGAAGAATAAAAAGGAGGATGAAAAAAAAAGAAAAGAAAAGAAAGTTAGAATTGAGTAGGAACAAAAGTTTGTAGCATTTGAACATGTAATTTTGTTTCCCACCCTCACACACTCTTTCTCTCTCTCATATATATATATATATATATATATATATATATATATATATATATATATACACAACTCTGAGTCAAGATGCTGAAGGTAACACTAATCAGCTAAGTGACAAACTATATATATATATATATATATATATATATATATATATAAAATTTCAATGCATTTTTCACTATGATTCATTCATGTGTGGATTGTTAATTTAAATGTTTATACATTTAAAATGAAAAGGGAGGAAAATGAGATACAGTTTCGTTAGATGATCTTTTAGAAAGGAAAAAAAAACACTACAAACAGTAAAATAGATATATGCCATTTATGGAGAAGGTGCTATAGCTGAGAGTACGGTTTATAAGTGGTTTGCTAGGTTCAAAAGTGGAAATTTTGATCTGGAAGACTGGGAATGTTCCAGCTGGCCTGCAATGGTTGAAAATAATCAATAGGAGACATTGTAGAGATATTTAATTTTGCATATCTCATATGGGTTGTAAGACTTTTGAAAACATTTAGTTATATGAATTGTTACAGTAATTGGGTGCCTCAAAATTTAACAGAAAAAATAATGGAAAGATACCACAAAAATGACACATTTTTTAAAAAGAACACTCAGAGGTGATGAAAATTGATGGTTTAAAAGTTTACAACAATGTGGAGTGAAAAAAAGGTCCTGAGAAAATAAAAATGAGCCACTGTTAGTTAGCCAGTCCAAAAACAAGTCAGCATCCGAAGAAGGTGATGCTGTGTCTGGTCGGATTGGATGGTTACAAGTTTCTTCTGCAAAATCAGACAAGTACTGTTCCCACTTGGATCAATGAAAGACAGCAACCGACGAAAAGTGCCTCGAATTGGTCAGTTGGTAAATTTGTATCTTTTATAAACAGAAATTCAGTAACTAAAGGAAAAAGTTACGTAAAAAACAAATGTACTGTTCAAAAGATAATTCTTGTTTAAAGTTTTGTTTGAAAATGGAATGTTTAGTTACGGTACAGTTACGTAAAAAAGTGTAATAAGGTAGTTAAATAAATAGTGTTGCTATGTAAAAATAAAATAGATATTAAAAAATAAATGCTTATTTACGCTTCTTGTTCCTAACGACACTTAGGTAAAAAAAAAAATTACTAACTAAACAAAAAAAAAAAATTATTATCAAAATTTGCAATGTTATGTGCCTTACCTTCAACAATGCTTTGTGATGTTTGCAAGTGTTAATTATTGAAATGAATTTTATCTTTTTTTTAAATAAAAAAATATAAGAGTCAAATAAAAAGCCAAATCGATCCTTAACCGGATCGCCTGAATAAAATATATATATATATAGACACACTACATAATTATTTTTTTAATTTAAAAAGAAACCTTTTTCCATCCTAACGGGATTTTACCAGTTTTAGCTGCTAATTTTTCATAAATAATCCCAGTTGTTATTTGAAATTGGATCGATAGAAAATAAACGTTTTGCAAAATTTGGATCAAACCAAAAACGTTCAGTTAAAAAAACTTATAATCGACTAAACAAATATTTGTTCCCTTTGTTGTTGATAAGGAAAAGTTAGTGTTTTTTGTTTATAAAACTAAAGAGAAAATTAATTCTGAGGCCCTTGAAAGTTTTGAAGCTCAATTATGTTTAATTTTCTGCCTAAAAATGAACTACAATGAAAAGTGTATTTAATCAATTTCAAATGTGATTTTGGAAGTAATGAATAGAAAAGAAATCGTCAAAAAGGGAATTGAAAGTGGCCTAATAAATAAAGCAGTGAAATAAACAAACATGCATACAATCAGTTATGTCTCCTTTCAGTTTCTTACCAACTCCCACCGAAAATGTCAACATGGTAAAGAAAAACACTAAAAACAGTAAAACATGATTTTTGTTGGAGTGTTTCTAACAAAGATGGAATGCAATTTTATTTTTATTTTTTCGTAAATTTTCCTCAAATTTTCTAGAAGAAAAAAATTAATTTTGTTACATTTCATTTTAAAATAATTAACATTTCAGACGTTATTTTTCGATTTATTCCCGATACAAAAAAAAATAAATAAATAAAATAAAACTTTTCAAATTTAAATTGAGTTTTGAAAAGTGTGCTCACAATATGAGGCAAGGTTAAGAAAAAGAGTAATGCGATATTATTATTTTTTGGCTGCTTCAACTGTACTTTCTAGGAAAGAATCTTCATTCTTCATCATAATTAATGTCAATCAATTTTAAATTGATAACTTAACTTCAGTATATTTTTAAAAGATTCAATTTAAAAATGGGAAGTTGAAAAGATTTAGGACCATAATCATCGATTTACAAGTTTGTCTTTTTTTTTTTTTAACTTGAAACGAGAAGAGGAAAATATTTTGTCAGTGAATAGAATACAGAGGGTTCTTAAAACTTGAATAATTTTTAAATTTTAAGTTTTACGGATTTAGTTAAACTTACATTTTATTTTTGTATGTAAAACAAAAACTGATGGCCAAATTAAGAAGATAAATACTTCTACTTAAAACCACTTCCTAAAGGAATTTGATGGAGGGTGCTATAAAAATTAAAATCAATTAACAGACTTTCTAGATTCATTTTAAAAGAGGATTTTACCTAAGTGACATGGCAATATTTGATTCATTAAACGAGACATTTTTGCGTTCGTTTCCTGGAATCTCTCTTCTGAATTGTTTTCAAATTTCTCGTTTTAACAATGGTGTTGTTTTGTAACAATTTATAATAATTTGTAATTTATTACTTGTAATTAAAATCCTCTCTTTTTTAAGAGTTTGATTGCAATGAGACGAGAGTGAATAAATAAAAACAAAATGTTTTTTTTTCACGCTAAATCAATAAAGAAAGCATAAACATATAATTCTGCACTGGAGTGCAATCAAAACATTAAAAAGTAAAATTACGTTTTTTGTACATCTTTTTAAGAAATTAATGCTTTTTTTTACTTTTTATTTTTTAAGGACACAAGTTTATTCCCAAGTAGTGAAATAATCATAAAAGAACACTAAAACAGAAGAAAAGAATTAAATATCATTATTTATTTGAAAGATAAATAGGCATTTCTTAACAACTCATTCTAAGTGATTTTTCATTTAATTTCAAAAACGGGTCCTTTTAAAAAGATGGGGGATAGACGATAGTGATGATGGGCATGGCTTTTTTTTAAGTCTTGGCGGCACAAGATGAATAAAAAATTATGAAACTGAACTTACCCCATAATCATATTGCAGTTATATGCAATAAGATAAGTTTTGGGAATTTCATCCATTCTGAACAACCTTTATCGTTATTCCTTTTTAGTTTTATTTATTTATTTTTTGTTATTTCCAACAATATCCAGTATCAAAGTCACCTAAACTGGATGCTATGGCTTAAACGGTGTAAAAAGAAAACTGTCCCGTTATAACGTTAATCCCGTAAATGTCTTCACACCTTTTCAGTGCAGCATTAGTTACAATTCATCCATTGAATTTGATCTTCGATGGTTTTTTTTGTTACTATGTTATTTCAACCAACCAATCAGAAACTGTCTTGATCAGTATATAAAAATCATAGTATATAAGCTAATCAGGGAAAAAGATCTGTTCCAAAACAGGATATGAGTTCATTGGTCATGGACCAGTCAAGAGGCATTTTTAAAGTGGATCTCTTTGTCATGCTAGATATGTATATAATGGAGTGAACAATTGAGCTAATTCAGAATCATTTAATTAATTTTATTCATTCTCTGATGCTACGGTCATTATGACATGCCCAGACCCTAAATATAACACTTATGCATGACCCATACAGTCTTGCATAGATACATACATCTTTGTACCATTTACCAAAAATGAAAGAAATTTATGCACTATTGTCTACAAGAAAACATGTGCCAGTGTGCCAGTTAAATGGTCACATACAAATGAAAGATGAAAGATGACAAGCTTCTCCATAGCTAGTGCACTGAGTCATTGCCAGCAGTCAGCGTAAGCCTTTCTCTGGGACTTCTCAAAAGTACAGGACTTTTTACACGAATGAGTGATGACACCCTATACTTGTATATATAACATACAGGACTCATATTCCTCTCCCTCAATCTCTGAGAGAAACAACTTCTACTAAAGAATCTGTTAAAGGAAAGTTTGTCCAGCCTACTGGACAATTCCTTTACTGGGTTTTTTCCAATCTCTACTATATTTCCAATATTTTGGACAGGGTGTCTCACTCAGAATTATAGACACTTGATAGAGAAGGTGTTCAGGTCGACATTGAATTTGTGATCTCCAATTTTTCCATGGAAGTCTCTATTCCAGCTGAGGCAAAAACAATGTGGAATTCTGTCAGAAAGTGTTGGAGAAATATGTGACATAATTCTATTGTCATTGTGGTTACCCTCAAACTGGGAAGGCTTACTATCTCAAGTACAAGGCTGGGCCCATCAGGATAAGATTTATTTTATCCCCCCAAGGCTCATGCTAGATAATGAAATGTTTTACTAGGCATAAATGCAATGCATAATAAATGGTGTCAGTGAGATAATGAGTAAATCAAACTGGCAAGGAAGCAGAATTACTATTATGTAGTTTGTAGCTGCCACCAAAACTGAATAAAAGTAAAAGAGGAGAGGAGAAAAAGTGGAGTTTCATAAAAGTTGAACTGAAGCACTATTATGAGGTAGGCCAACTACAGTACTGTTTCTTAAGTGGAAGAGTAAGATGATTGTTTGAGCCAAATCTGAGGCAAAGTAAGAACTTGTGGAACAGTTTTATTGAATTTCAAGCATTGTCTGATTTAACACCACCACCATTTATAACTGGTTTTGTATTTTTTATATTTTTTTTAATATTTGATACTTTATAATCATACAAAGATTTACTGTAATTAAAAAAAAAAACATCTCCCAATCTTTATTTCAATAGCTTATTCATATGAAAACGAACTTTCTAAAATAAATTCTGTCAGGTTAATTTACTACTATTTTGAGAGTTATATAAGTGTTAGTACTTGATAAAGACTTTCTGTTGGTTATGTTAATTTTCAGGTGTATTGTTTTAATATAAATGAACCAACACAACTGTCTGTCTTGTAAAATCCATAAGTTTCTTTAAAATATGTTTCCAATTGTATATAATTATGTTTTGATTATCATGTATTGTCTCTGTTGTGTCAACATGCTTTACAACTGAAACATGTTGACATGTCAGAGACAATACCTGATAATCAAAACTTGAATTCTTTATTTAACCGAAACAAAAATTATAAGAAAAGTCAAAATTTACTTGCTGCCATCCCTCTTCCTAATGTCATTTTTGTTGTGTCTATAAAGAAATATATAAATAAAAAATAATTATACTGCCATGTAGTTGTGTCCATAAAAAAACAAATAAAAATGAATTATAGTATCAAAAATAATTATAATAAAATAATTATGACAATTATAATTATCATTAATTCACTCATGCTAAACTAATGAGAATCGATATCACTTTTCTCCACTGTACATACAATCGCATAACATTCTCACTATCAGACAAGCAGTTCACATGGACAGGTTGTTAACACATGCATCAATGAAAATATCATATTTTCCTTTTTCAGGTCATTATAGTAACATTTATCTTCTAGCACTCAATAAAAACTCAAAGAAGACCCCAGACACTTCTTGTATTTTTCCAGCTAAATTATCTGGAAATCTATAAAAAAAAAACAACATATGAGAAAGACTTTATACACTTTGTTTATTCTTTATCTTACCCTTCTGTTAGATTCCAATCCACATTTGATCTACATTTAATGCTAAACTCACAATTTACAATCTTACTTATTATAAAACGCAGATTGTGTGTGTGTGTGTGTGTGTGTGTGTGTGTGTGTGTGTGTGTGTGTGTGTGTCTGTAACGTTTATATATTGGATCGGATTTCCTACATTTTTCAACCGATTTCAACAAAACTTCACAGGACTACATAAAATTACCTTGTGGTGGTTCTAACAGCACCAAAAATGAGAAAAATATAATTGTTTTTGTACAAAATCAATTTGAAAACACGATTAAGAGACACCGTGAAAATGGAAGGGAGACAACTCACATCGGATTTCCTATATTTTTCAGCCGATAAAACCAAACTTCACTTTTTTTTTTTTTGGCAGATAGTGTTTCTTATTCTCTTGCACACTTTTTTCTTTATTTTTAACATTCAGAATGCTTTAAAAATTCCTTTTACAAGACAATTATTTATAATAAAATTCCTTTTCAATTGGGAGACTCATAACGATTGAAAACAATGTTTTTGTTTGAGTTTGGGTTTGACCAATTCGTAAAAAATAAAAAAAATAAAAACTAATTAAGACATGCGTGACCGTCAACCTTAAACAATAATCTAACGATCTCTATACTGATTGTACGAATACAAACATCGGATAAATTCTTTATCTTTAGGGAAAGATAATGAAATCTAAACATACACAAGTCCTAACTAAAAATAATAACCGGAACGGGAAACTACTTTAAATACACATGGTGTCCAATTTTTTTACACTGTATTCAATAAGTAAAAATCATAAATTGTAAAAGATTATTATTACTGAAAGGCTACTAAATGAATAAGATTTGTTAGATCATAGTTAATAAACCCAAATAAAGTTAATATTTTTTGTATTAGAAACAACGAGTGGAAAATATATCCAAATCAGAATTCTAATTATGAATCGCCACAAGCAAAATATGCAATTTTTTTTTTACTGTATTCAATAAGTAAAAATCATAAATTGTAAAGCTAAAAGATTACAGAAAGGCTACCTACATTTTTCAACTGATTTCAACAAAACTTCACTTTTTTTTTTTTGGCATGTAGTGTTTCTTATTGTCTTGCACACTTTTTTCTTTATTTTTACATTCAGAATGCTTTCCTTTAAAAATTCCATTTACAAGACAATTGTTTATAAAATTATTCTATTCAATCGGGAGACTCATAACGATTGAAAACAATGTTTTTGTTTGAGTTTGGGTTTGACCAATTCGTAAAAAAAAAAAAAAAAACTAATTAAGACATGCGTGTCCGTCAACCTTAAACAATAATCTTTGTCAATTTTATTTTTCAGTCTTTATGATGGTGGATACTTGATCTATCTCTTACTGTTATATCCCCGGGCAACGCCGGGCTCTACTGCTAGTTTCTAATATTACTGTCTCTTGTGTCTCCAATTCAAAGTATTTTTGTATATATAAATGTTAAGGGGTTTATTATTTACTCACAGTTATAACTCCCCTACACCTACACCCTAATGTTGATACTATTCAAAATCTCAGTTTGGTGAAAGGAAAGAAAATTTTTGAGAGGTGCTGAAAAATTCTTAGTCTGACCTACTTACCAAAATTTAGTCCTTTTTTTATTTTGTAATTCCTTCTAGTTCAAGCTGGGGACTTTTCAGTACCCTCTCAGATTTCATTTTCTCATGCTGGGTATACATATATCTTTATGCAAGTTTTTTTGTGTTTAGATTTCTAAATATGTTTTTAACTATATATTTTATTTTCTACATTATATTTATTTTAAAATTGTTATTTATTTTTAATATTACCAAATCATTTAGCTCATAAATTTCTTAACGTGTTGGAGATTTATCAAGTAATATTTAAATATATGATTAGTCTTCATTTTGGAGAAAATAATTAACCATTCACATCTTTGCTTTCATATTATAATTTGTAATATAAAACTTTCAAATTGATAATAAATCTCTAATTCAACAGGTGCAGTAGATTAAAAAGTAGTTATTTCCCTTGATTAGCAAATGCATTTTCCGGTGCTTCAGTGTTTATGTTTAGTTTGAGAGAAAAAAAAAATGTAACATGTGATGATTTTTTTTTTTTTTTTTGGTTATGCGAAAAAACAAAACCGTATAACTAATAACTGTTAGTATTCTGGGTAAGTACACTGCTCTTTTCTTCTTTGTAAATCTAAACACACAGAAAAAAAAAAAGATTGGTTTTATTTTCTTTTGTTGCCTCTACAGCCGGATGATTAAAAAAATTCAAATTGTATATGATCATCAGTGTAGGGAATAATAATTTAACAGACAATATGAGAATTGATCATATTTTATAAACTTTTTAACTTAAAAAGTGCGAAGTTTTTTCAGCACAGTTAGCTTAAATCAAATCAAAAGTATTAGTTTCTGTTTACACGTCAGCTAAACAAAAAATATTGCTAGAGTAGAGAGAGTGTATTTGACTA